CCTTTCATCAAAGAACTCCGAATCAAGTATACTACTAATTAACCACGTCTCTGTCAGCACAATAACATCATAAGAATGTAGTAGCAAATTTCGATAAAAGGTATCAGTTTTAGTTCTCAAGTCCGCGTACGTTTTGATAAAAAATCCTTAACTTACGTTCACCGATATATGCGCCTGTAAGTTAGAACAAAAGTTTTATAAACATCATTATAAGAATTTAAGACACAGATATATTCAAAATTAAAGTTAAGTGAAACACGATGTATATTTTTGCATGTAGAAAGTGGGTGCATCGAAGTTAGTTTCGCATAAACATTTGCAAACGTTGCTATCAATAAGTTAATGCAGAACAGGAGATAGTGGTGCTTATTAATTAGTGCGGGCGCGAGCGAGCTGCAGATAGTTAATCGTATTAAACAAAGAGCGGTTGCAAGTCTTAATAACGAAGCAGGGGTCTTAAACATTTTCCAAACATGTAAAGTGTTAATATTATCATTTTATTTTTGTATTAAATTATAAAAAATTTGTAAGGAAATAAACGTAAAATATAGATAACATTTTAAATAATCTTGTTTAAATCTGTCTCATTTCTAATAATAATAGTTTTTGATGTGGTATTTTTTCTGATATGTATTTTGCCATACTTTACCCATACAAATGTGTAGTACGTTCTTTGGCTATGGCTTTAACTTTACTTAATAATTGTTTGGACTCGACGGTGAGATGGTCATTTATGTAGATACGCTGTGGCGAACACTGGAAACCCAAGTTTGACGTCGATAGATCCTTAAAAGCACGTGCTGCAGCAATAAAGTCTTCTTTAATATATCGGTTTAAGAAGCTGACTATGATAAGTTTTTCTTTTGAGTTTTGCTTGGGAACCCTAGAAATATAATTTATTGCCGATTTAGGGCAGTTATACTTAATTTCACGACTAATAGACTCCATTATACTGAACAAGTTTTCATTGGATTTCACAGGAATACCCTTAATCTCAACGTTGTTTAGTCTTGATCTTTGGTCATCTGAGGCCAATTTAAATTGGAGTTTTGCCATATCTGTTTGAATAGCATTCATCGAGTCCCGTAGTCCTTCAGTACTGCTTACCGTGGCCTCGAGTTCTGCAAGCTTAGTCTGGAAGTCGTCAAGCCTGCTGCTAGAGAACTCGGTGAACGTTTTTAGCTCGGAAAGCTCCACTTTTATAGTTTTTATGTCATCTACTAGGGTTGGCAAGTTCACTAATTGTCGTCTTATATCCCGGATTTCACTTAAAATCACGTCAAGTGATGCAGACACCGATGGTTCCAAAGCAGACGCAGGCACAGTAGGCGAAGAAGGGCGACAATCCGGACACTTCCACTGGGCTCTTCTTTCTGCGCCTAGCTTCCTCCATCCTGACTCGGTGATATTGGAACAACCAAAGTCCAATTGCTTTTTACATATGCCACACTTTGCACCATCATTAAACTGGACACTACAAATACCGCACGTCTTCATTATGTCTTGGCGAAAAGGTTGACGATATATATGCGTTAACAAGTTAAAGAGGGTATAAAAAATATCGATAAGCGAAATACGTGTTTACGGACTGAGGTCTGACTGGTTTAATATAAACAAATGAATAAAGAATTTAATATTTTCTCTTTATTTATAATTTAAGTTAAAAATTAATCAAATATAATTAAAGAAATATTATAGGAATAATTGATAGGAAGATTAAATATTTGTATTTAAAAACTTGTATTTAAATATTAAAAAATCAGTTACATACATACAGTTGTAAATCAGTCAACTATATTATTTTTATTACTTTGACTAAGTAACTATTTAAATGTATTAGTTATTATTACCTTGAGATTAAAAGCGACCATTCCGTTTGACGGTTCTCCGTAAGGACAGTACACTTTGAATCCATAGTCAATACCTTGTTTTAAAATGTATTCAATGTTTTCGAGTGTTGTAAAACCAGATATACTGCGCGGCCAGTCCGATTTAAAAACAGCTTTTAACTCTCCCCACCTTCCAACTGGCAAATAAACTAATGGATCCTCACTCATGTTTTGCAACGAATTTATATTTAAAATCGCGACGCGCAGTCGTCCGCTGCGTACAACAGATAACAGGACAATGCTCTTATAATTCAATGTGTAGTCATATTGCAAACAATTACTGTTTATAAACAATAGCTAAACTTCAATTACACATATTGCTATTTTATTCATACTCTTTGGAAAAACAGACATAACATATTTCTGAGTTAGTGTTTTGGTATGGAAGTCAGTAACGATAAATCTGATGAGCTAAAATCGGTAATCACTGCATTTTGTGTATTTATTAAACTTCTTTCTAATTACCTAAACATATTTATAATATAATAAACTATCTATACATATTTATACATAAGAGTGCCTGTATGTAATATCGAAAAAATCATATTTCGTACCCATGATGTATTTAAAACGAAAAACCAATTTTAATATTTTTGCCTGTCTGTCAGCAAGGTCGTGTTTATTCTGGTTAATATCCGGAACTGCTGGACCGATTTTGACGGGACGTAGACGGGAAGTTATCTAATACATGAGGGCACATCATAGAGTATTAAGTTCTCAAAGGAACTCGGGAGAGTTTTGACAATTTTATTTCGTTCTACAGGTATTTCACAATATGTTGCATATACCTCGATAAAAAATAATAATCATTACGTACTTTTCGCTAGGTAGGTTCGAGACAGTTCGTACTACTCCTTTATACCTGTATAAATTATTAAATATATCTCGCCTTAACTTACGTGTATTTCGGTCTAGGTACCGACTAGTTTCAAACCCGTCAGAGTTCTTTCTTCAGGGTGAGTAGACTAACCATAAGGGTCTGAATTTAGTCGGTACCTAGACTTAGAACACACTTAACTTACGTCGTTTAATTTAATTAACGTTGTATAATGTCTCATGAAAGTTTTAATAAGGTATCTCTCTATCAATCATCATAATTAATTATCTCCTACGTAATAATATAATGAAATTATTTCGATAGTCGTATCGGTGAATGGACTGATAGCGAAGAGCTTCGACCAACATCTTAAGAAGCTCTCGCCAATCAGTTGGATTAAGGGCCCGATACAAAAGGCAGTTATCCTAGAAACCGCGCGCATCGTGAGAAGGTTCCTGTCTCTGCAGCCCTGACCACTGGTTGTTTGAGTCATGGAATTCTGCAGCCGGTGGTGTTATATTTTTAATGTAATATGTTTTGTATACATGTTTTTTTTGAATACGAAATGTACTATATTAAAAATATGATAAGTAAATGAATACGAATAATGTAATTATAAACAATATTAGTATTAAATCTTTTATTTCTTTACAATGATAACCCAATAATCGTAGCCGATATTTTCGAATCCCAATTTCAATAGTAACATTTGAGAGTTGTAATTATTTTCAACAGTATAAGCTATCACATTCCTTCCTTTTTTTAGAACATCGTTACAAGCGTATTTTGTTATTAGTTCACCGTAGCCTTTCCTTCTGTACGGTTCCAAACAAAATAGATGAGATAGTGAACCTGCGTCGTTAATGGTAACCCAAGCCATTGGTTCGTTATTTTCTTTTGAATAGAGAACGTAAGTACTATCGTTTCTCATTAATATTTCAAAATATTCTTTTGATCTTTCACTCGAATATGTCCATGTTTTATCAACAATATCGATATGTTCAGGTTTAAGAGATGCTATGTAAGTATTTTCTGGCAAACTGGAATGAAAAATAATTAGTTTTAGTATGAAAATAATTTCCCGGCTGATATACGTATGTGACCTCCTGGAGCTTAGACTGACTCGATTTTGACTAGTCATTCGATTCTTATTCTTCCCCTGAGCGTCATCGATACAAAACATATATTGGACGTAGAGAAAAAACTTTTTGATTACTTGGGCTCGAATATTACTGCCCATAGGTTTTTTTTCAGCCAGTATTTTTAATTCAACAATTTTTGTTACTTGTTCACAAAAAGTTCCTGAAATGTATTATATTTTACCTTATTTCGAACGGGATGCACGTTTTATTTAATAAAAATGTAATTGCTTTATTTTGTTCGTAGTATATTTTGACGTTGAGCTTGTTTGATATCTTCACGAGACAAGCTGTGACTTCTGGGCTCGCAAACGGAGCCATAATATTTTTCTTCCAATCTATTACATTTGTTGATAATAACGCTTCTTCTATTTTTATAACATCATTCAAAGGTCTTATTATAACTTGAACATCGTCGTCCTGGATTAAAAAAAATAAAATATAGTAAAACAGCTTAAAAATTAAGTAACAGTATCTGCTATAATATTATAGTAATTAATATTTTTAATCTGTGTAAATGTAACTGACCTTAAGAACGCAATACAATTGAAAAAACAAATTTAAAAAGCTATGAAATTATTTTTATACTTCATTTAATAGAATAAATAAAATTTCGGACCGTTCTCAAAGATCGATTATTGGTTTCGACCGTTAGCTATCTACCTGCATTGTTATGGCGACCATTCCATTGTTCATGTCTCCGAAAGGACAGTAAACTTTGAAATTAAATTCTTGACTTAATTTCGGGCAGTTTATATTGGTGTCCAAAAGACAATAAGCGGCTGCTCCTTTCGGCCAGTCAATACTAAACATGTCTCGGAGTCGAGGCCATTCAGCGACCGGTATTTCCACTAGAGAGTCCATTATACGTGAATAAAACGCTAAAAGAGATAAAAAATTAAAATAAACTCTATAAATAGATTAAAGCTACCTTTTAAGTAACATAGCGGCGGTTAAACATTTCCATTTAAGTAAGTATTAAATTTTATATATTATATCCATATTAGTAAATATTAAATATTTAAGATATTTGTAGAAATGTAATGTCTGACAATATAACATACGATTGAATAAAAAAAATAACTCAAGATGTCGCTTCGCACTCTCACGAAATTATTAGAAATTATAAACAATTGGCAGAATTTTTTATGACATTGAAGCAAAAATATCAAATTAAGCAGTTTTAAAGTCATATTGGATTGTATAAAATATAGGTAGTTACTACAAGCGACACAAAATTAAAGCTAGATTAAACAATTATATATAACTTACATTTTTTTGCACAATGTTGTTTTCTTCTGTTCAGGTTAATCCAAGTCGGTAATTAGTGAATCGTTACTAACAATATACAGATTTGCATGAGTTTTATATATTAAAAAAAAGAAAAATAAACTTAAAAATATTTTTAGCACCTAACCAAACTCCTAATTGGGTAGAGATATAAATATATCTGATAACTGTTGCAAGCTGCCAGATATAATTATTAGCGTCGCGATTTGTTTTAACCTGTTTGACATGTGACGCTTAATGTTGCTACTGCGGGTTTCGGCTGCAATGACAAATATTGTCATCTCTTACATTCTCTTTAAAAAAACAGAGACAACAATATATGTGTCAAGTGTCACAGTCATAGATTTACAAACGTTAGTTCTGAGTTTACTTATAAAACAATTGATAATTAAATGTATCAGGCGCTTTATTATTATTTATACTTTTACATTTTTCTATTGTTATTTTTATAGTTTAGAATAAGTTGTAATATAATTTATAAAAGAAAGAAATGCATTCAAGCTAGCTTATAATAGTCATGAGAAAGAATTGTTTATATCATTTATTATTATTGAAATAAAAAAATTACTTACCGTGTGTTTGATCTGAACGGTGAACGTAATTGAGAATATCATATATTAGAAACACGTAATGAAGATATAAGGGAGTCGCGGTACGTTGTTTATGAGTTTGTTGAGCAAAGTAATGAGATATTGACGACGTTGTTCGATAAATTGAGCCAGGCAGCCATAGCAAAACATGTATTTTGTTTCTTAATAATATCATTAGTACACTTTCTGAGTATTGATTTTGTATAAAGTGCTTGTAAACAAAACATTAATGAGGTCGTCGTACTTTAAAATTCATATTTTATAAATAAATAATCATACTTCCACTGTAGAAACAAAGGATACTAATAAAACTTTTTTTTTAATTATTCTTTAAAAACTGTGAGATAAACTTATATATTTATTTACGTAAGAAAATAAAATTCCTAAAAAAATGGAATTTACGACTTTTAGCGTCAATCGTAGTTTGTCTGAATAGTATTTATGTACCCATTCGTTACTATATTGATGAAGTACGGTTCAGAAAATTTGGGACATAATTCTTTGCCTAATATTTGCTATAAAGTAATAATAAAAACTCCATTTAACATTAGAAGAAAATTGCATTAGTATGAACAGCTGTTATTAAGACGCAGTGAAAGAAAGTGCTTCGTAACCTACAAGTCAAGTTAGCGACGCTCCGGGCTTGGCGAGGTGCCAACAGCTTGTTTAGATCACTTGTAGCTAACTTCACAGTCTATAGACACGAGGACTACTTCACGTATTCCTCTTACTCGTACTTCTATTTCATTTTGTCGATTTTAAAGACACGATAAACATATGTATGTGGTTTACAACATTACAATTGTTAAATAACAAAAAAAAAACTTATAATTTACTAAACTGGAAAAGATTTTTTTTTTCAAGAAAAAAGTTTTAATTTGGTCATTATTGCCAGAATCAATGTTCAGTGTGAATCAGACTTATGAACTGTGTTAACCAATTTTGAACCGTAATAAAATAATTTACACTAATATTTAGCAGCAAACTCTAACATCAAGAGGAAATAAATTATAGGACCGATTTAAATAGCTACTTGTAGTTGTCATCACGAGTCGTTGGTCATTCATAAATTTCATTAAAAGTGTCATCTTATAATATTTTATATTATAAACGAGAATGTTTGGATGGATGTTTGTTATAAGGTATCTCGCTGAAATTTGGCATATATGCAGAATACTCTGGAAGAGCACACAGGTTACTTATTTAGTTTCTTTTAAATTCCGTTCGGATGAAGTTGGAGGCGACAGCTAGTGTATAAATAGTTTACAATCTTCTCTCTTCGATCAATATACGTTGAACAAGATAAAGCACGTTCATCTAACAACGTTGTTCACATTCTCTCGGGCTAAGTCTTTGTATGTGGTCGTCTTGGATTTTAATTTGCCGCCTTGCTACCGAAGTGTTCGCCGACAAAGAGATTTAATTTACTAAATCGATTACTTCAAGTATACACTCGTTTGCACATCTAAAAGAATAGAAAGCAATTAACATGTTTCTTTTTATTTTATCATAAAGTATATGGCATTTATTTTATAAATCACCAATCATACTTTTCTAATTAAGGCATATAAATCCAAAAAGTTTTTAATATTAGTACGCAAGCCAGCTTTTCCAACAATCATTTTATTCTGTTTGCCCGAAACTTTAATATTTTATTTACGTGACACGAATACATAATTTGGCGTACTTAGTTATAATTTCGAATTAAATTTTAAAACATATTCTACTTCTGATTAATGTTGTATTCTGGTGATGATAAGAATGATTACATCAATATAAATTAAACATAATGCAAATAATCTTTTTTTTCAACATATTAGTATAAAAAAAAAACAGAAAAAATGCTTACAGTAAAAACATTGTTTGAAAACATCAATAGCAATAGTTTTGTGAGGGTTTATTTTCGTGTCAAACAGCTCGAGCACACACGATTGTGTGGCTTATGATTGATGTTTGTTACCTATTCTCTCTCTACTTCGTATTGTCGCCTCGCAGTCGGTATGAAAACATTCAGACACAACAACTGCTATGCCAGATGAAACAATGAAGGTCGCAGACGGATCTTTGTCTGCAAAATTTCACATCGTCTGACTCCAGTGTGAATGTTTGGAATTGTGGATCATGTTGTATAACAGCGTGACAGTCTGCTTATAGTTCGTTTTATATCACTTTTTTTTTAATAAATTTAGCTTGAACTATTATACCTCATGTTAAGTAATAAAACTGGGTCCTAAGGTTTTTTTAATCTTGCTCAATAAGTTACCACCGGAATACTTTTTAGGAGATTTTTCTCGTTTAGTCGATGGTCAAGGTACTTTTTCTTACATAAGCGACTATAATTCATTAGTTAATTATAATTTTAAGTTCTTAGTTAACTTTCAGTAACTCTACACTTTAATTAAAACCTTTTTCTTTGTACGTTATATGAAAATGTATTTCGTATATTTTGGAAAGCACTTATTCCGCAGAGACCACGTTTTAATGCGAAATGCATATGAAATAACTGTTTAGAGAATAACAAATTCTCTACAGGTCAGCGAGCATGTCACGAGGCGTTGCGGTACAATGAACATGTGGTTTCCTATGTCCCCGGCAATGCTACGTCTAGAGGATTTAAATAAAATAGAGTAATATTTTACAAATGAATGAAAAGTAATTATTAAATATCATCTTATAATTTTGTAAATTATATCCAAATACTAAACAACATAATTAAATTATTCCATTTTCGTTACAAAAAAAATCCAATCTTACTTCTTACTAATATTATAAATGCGAACATTTAGAGAATGGATGTTTGAAGGTATCTTTACATCTCGCTGAAATTTGGCGTAGATATAGAACTTGAAGATCACATAGGCTACTAATTATTTTTTTTCCAACGAAGTCGCGGACGACAGCTAGTTATTTATTTAAATAGTGTCAGTTGGTCGTATTTTTCTACTTCTGCTGAAATAGTATTACGTAGCTATAAGTTAAAGTTATTTATAGTGGTATTATTATAAAAACTTATTCGACGTATTTCTTTTCGTCAACATATGTACATAAAGATTTTATGGGAAAATTATGCAAATAGGTTTTATTAAATTCATAAGCTAGCTGAATATTATCGAAGTCACAGCGCGTTTTAATACACTGACATCTCTAGGGAAATTTTATCCGATATTGTTATAAATAACAAGCACCGTGTGGAACACTGGTTTTGTTATTGTAGAATTTAACTATTATTAAACAGAAAGCGTCGTGGCTCAGGGGTCAAGCACTTGACTTGCAATTTGCAGGTCATGGGTTCAAATCCCGCCATGTACCAACATGTTTTTCGATTTCAGATTTACATATGTAAGTTTATCTGACGTTCTTACGGTGAAGGAAAACATCGTGATGCAACCTGCTCATATCGGAGAAGAAATTCAAAGATATGTGTGACGTCAAACAACCCGCTCTTAGCCAGCGTGGTTGACTATGGCCTAATCACCCTTACCTTAGGGTTGGCTCCGAGCTCCTCAGTGGGGACGTATAGCTAGCTGATGATGATGAAACACAAATGTTTTTACTTTTCGTGGAAGGACACTGTCTGTGACAAATGTAACGTCTGTTGTATTGCAACCTCCTATAGACTATGTGACTTACCGTGGGTTTTGAGACCAAAATTCTTGTTTAAAATATATTGTTAACGCTGTTTCTTTTTAAATAATGACAGGGGTGATGTTTTATACAGAGATTTTGATCTCAGAAACTCACGGTTATTCTGAAGAGTGAGGTATCATTAATTAGTCATTTACACCATGTGTAGGGATTATCAGTTTTATTGTTTAAATTATAGCTTCTTCATCATTTATTTTGAATTTTATAATTCAAATATTAAAAGATGTAGTAGATTCCGCTTTATTACTTTTATTTCAACATTTTTTTTTATTTAGGTTAGGGCCTTATATTTGATAGAAACTTTTATGCCGACGGAAAGCAATCATTCATTCCCTGGCATAATTTATCACCTGCGTGGATAAAATTCTTCGCATGAAAGATTGCGAGTAAATCTAAGTTCTTTTCCCAGCTGACGGGAGGATTATGTTATTGGGGATTTTGTGTATATGTATATTTTATCATTATGATTAACCAATCACGTTGCAACGCTTTAAATATGAAAAGTCGGAACGTAAGGATCGGTCGGATGGGGAGGATGGGCGCACCATGAAAACAAAGTTGACAATTTCGAGCCATAGAAATGAATTCACATTGCGTGGTTCTTGACCGCCTATGTCTTTAGAATCAAGCTCTCAAGAAACGCAACGTACTACGTTTGCCAAACGCAACTGTAGCTTCCTGCTCAGCCTTTGTGCAGTAAATCAACAGAACTGTGTCAAAACCACGGGAAGTACCTAGAGATATTATCGTCGATATAAATTTGAAGCTGGGACAAAGCCCATTTGGAATAAAGCCAGTTTAGAAAACACAAAAGCTTATAGTCCGAAACAAATGACTCCGCCTGATTATGTAACTTTAGATCTAAACAGTTAAATAATTCTAGTTAATTGTGTTTAACTTTAAACAAATTTAATTAAGTAATATTTGTTTAAATTTCGGAAAAAGGGTGTCATAATTATTTGGTTCTTTGAACCATATATTACCTGTTATCAGTTCTATGGGCCGTGGGAACATGTTCTATGTAAACAAATGAAACTCGTGATTTTATACAACAAATAAATAT